GAGTAATAAGCAGAGTGTACGCGCATTGTGCACCCACCTATAGGCACATATTACTAACGTGCCCTTAAATAAAATTTGTAAAAAAATGCTGCGCCATTTAGTTGGTCAACTGCCTTAAAATAGCAATGTGCGAAAAATGCACCTTGTTTTCAGACCAGCACGCCCATGGGCGAACAGATGGGCACAAGTGCATTTGTATTTAAACAACATGGTGCCGGACGTGAAAATGATAACTGTGTCAGGCTGAAACTAGCGAAACACTTGCGTTGCACCTAGCATCGCATTGCGCCGGGTGTATGATAGGATCCTAAGTGACAGTTTGAAGCTGATGGCTTTTTTCTGATTTGACTACAGCGTTAAAATTTACAATTAAATATAAACAGGTAATTTTAAGGCTGCTCAGTGACTTTTAATATTTTATGTAACGGACCAATGCTACATAAAAGCTGTACTAAAATACGCCAGCTCTGGCCCACCTCAGAAGCTGTTCACAACACTGTTCTCAACACCGTTCAGAGTTCAACTCCTCACCATGAGGCGCTGTGTAGCAGAAGTGAACAGAATGATGACAAGCCAAAATTCTCTTAACTTGAATATGCCGCTTATGGCACAAGACATCCATATAGCATGTTTACATAAAAAAATAAAAATAAAAAATAGTGCAGGTGGATGGCAGAACACATTCTGTGTGAACAGCCCTGTAGTAATGCAGCAACAGAGCAGCATTTTGCAATTGTCATTGTCAGTATTTAATAATCAATTAGGCTATAGGCCTAGTTTATTTCTATACTCATAATTTCAAAGTATTATTTCAGCAGTTGAAATTTCTATGTGCATTTCTCTGAACAGCAATAGACAGCCTGTATAAAGGAACTTTTTTGTGGTAATACAGATGCAGGTTCTGTGCTGCATTTGCAGTGTAAAGACGGCCTGGATCATTTTCCACCAGTTAAAACATATTATGTGCCGACTTCATCTTAACACAATAGATGTTCTTATATCTTGATACTGTCCAATGTTTAGTGCCTGAGTGCAATGTACTTCTACCTACAGTATGTGTTAAAAAATAAAGCAATAGTGAATATGCATGGTTTTCTACATTTGAATTCCTTAGAGATGAAAAAGCAATGTCAGACCTTATGCAGAGAACTGATTCATTAAGCAAAGTTTTTGAGTGTTACTTTTTATAAAGCATTAGCATTTTAATGAATCAGCCAAGTTTCCAACTGAATGGAGTCATTTTTAGGTACAATCATAACTGAAGAATCTTCTTGTGCAAAAATAAAAAAAATGATTCCCAGCACAAATCCCTGCAAACATTCCACTGTCCACTTTATTACAACATTTGTCTGGATCTACTTACTAGAATACAGTCAGTCAGACCACAAAACTCACTCAGGAGCTGTGGCATAGCAGGTGACATGAATCTTGCAGCATTTCCTGATCCTATTCACTTGTTCAATATTAATATCATTCCTATCAATAGAAGTGGCAGCATTTAATTTACTTGAAGGCAGTGTTCACAATATGCTAGCCATACAAAATCTTTAAATACTGATTGCACGACTTCCCAGCATTTACAGTCCCATAATTCAAATTACAGTTCAATTTCCTTCAAAAGTGTGATAATATTTACATCATGTGTCAAAAGTTATAATCCATCTCTTCAGGGGAAAATAATAGTGGAAGACTGTTTTCTAGTAGAAGACCTCATAAAAAGGCAAGGATCTGCAAGAAAAAGATATGGGACCTCACTTCATGACCAGTGGAATTAAAGGAATAGTTCACCCAAAAATGAAAATCTACTGAAAATTTCCTCACCTGCAGACCATCCAAGATGAGTTTGTTTCTTCATTGAAAGAGATTCAGAAAAATGTAGCTTTACATCACTTGCTCACCAGTGAATCCTCTGCAGTGAATGGGTGCCATCAGAATGAGAATCCAAACAGCTGATAAAAACATCACAATAACCCACACCACTCCAATACTCCAACATCTTGTGACGTGAAAAGCTGCGTGTTTGTATGAAACAAATCCATCGAGGCATTTTAACTTTAAACCATCGCTTCTGGCAAAAAAAACAAAAAGACATTCCATAATCCATAATAACATTTCCTCCAGTGAAAAAGTCAATTCCCTGTTGTCCACTCACATCAAAATCCACCAAAATTTTTGTTTAAAACTGTTAATGAACGGTGCTTGATCTGTGTATATGTATCTCCTGAGTCACACAAGATGATTTTTTTCACTGGTGAAAGCAATATTATGAATAGAGAAACGGTTTGTTAAAAATATCTTGGATGATTTATTACCTTACATTCCCTTCATTAATTGATGGACTGGAGTCATGTGGATTACTTGAGGATTAATGTGATGTTTTTATCAGCTGTTTGTTTTCTCATTCTGGTGGAACTCATTCACTGTAGAGGATCCATTGGTGAGCAAGAGATGCAATGCTAACTTTCTCCAAATCCGTTCAGGTGAAAAAACTAATTTACATCTTTGATGGCCTGAGGGTGAGTAAATGTTCAACCAATTTAAATTTTGGGGTGAGCTATTCCTTTAATAAATGCACTCAGAGTCTGTAAAATACAACTCAAGGGTACATGTAATTTATTTAAAACAATACACTGCTCAATATCCATGTCAAAAAACACTCATTAAACAGCATGCACAAGCTGAGTGACAAAAGGGGTCAAGAGTTTTCCACAAGGGACCTTTTTCACATTTCCGGGTTTCTCAGCAGCGGAAGTCGTCATAGTTGGGTAAACTTGAAAAGCAGTGAATGGGAGAGCACCACAAATATATTTTTTGCATTCCCCGTTGCTCAAATAGCAAAAGAAAAACTCCACCATAGTGTTTTCATGACTTTCAATAAAAGGAAAAAAATTGAGAGAGACTGATAACGGCTGTCAGAAGAGAGAACGATGTCAAATTTACCGTCCTTCCCAGAGGCGCTGCATTAGAAACACCCTCGCATTAGCGTTAACTTGTAATTTGATGCAACGGTGATATAATATAAAGAATAGTGTTATAAATGTACATATATTTTTTTTTAAATACAAATATGAAAAACTTTCGAGGATTTACAATGCTGATTAGCTTGATATCGTGGCCTAATGGTTAGAGTCGGACTCGTAACCCAAAGGTTGTGGGTTCGAGTCTCGTACCGGCAGGGATTGTAAGTGGGGGGAGTGAATGTACAGCGCTCTCTCCCACCTTCAATACCATGACTGAGGTGCCCTTGAGCAAGGCACCGAATCCCCAACTGCTCCCCGTGAGCCGCAGCATAATTGGCTGCCCACTGCTCCAGGTGTGTGTTCACAGTGTGTGTGTGTGCACTTTGGATGGGTAAATGCAGAGCACTAATTCCTAGTATGGGTCACCATACTTGGCCACATGTCACTTCACTTCACTAAACCTAATATGTGCTGCCAGCAGAACAGCTCCTGTTATGCATGTACACAAGAGGATGCCTGCAAAACGTTGGTGCAACTATCCAGAGGCAGTATGGACAGCTATTCACATTATGGACTTCAGTTCTCAGCTCATGGTCCAACAGTATGGAGGAACTCTGGTGTTTATCACTGGAGTAGTACTGTATTGTAAGATAGCTGCTTTTATGATGCCAGCCATGTTTCAGCACCACGGACAGCAAGACTATCTGCACAGCCCACAAGAAGCACTTAATTTAAGTACTACAAACTTCAAGAAAGCAAGTTATAACCCAGTCCTACCTGGTTTAATTTATAAGCAGACAAAACTGATGGTACATCCCAAAGGAGTACCTGAGGAGTTCTGGTGAATGGCTAATATATACGATTATTATGTGACGCTAATAGACTCTTGCACATCACATTATGCAAAGTGAGAATGACAATAACAAAGAATGAATATGCAAATACTATTTTATCCTGTTTTCTATAAGCATAACAATCTCAACAATACTCTAAATAATAATAGAAACAACATAATAATGGTTAACATTTACATTATGTGGGAACTAAATAAAGTCATCATTAAAAGATTGAATAATTGTCATTGACGAATAACAGACCATATATGTTTAGGCAACTACTGAATAAACTGTGGTGAGCTGGTTAAGTAAAAATGGGTCTAACACTATAAAATATATTTGCATGAACACAATATTGCTTTATGTAATTGTTTGTTAAAAGCGACAAATTGGATTTGGGGGAGGGGTAGTTTTATGTTAACTGATCATGCAGCACAAGATGGTGAACTTTTATACTTCATCTTCATAAAGATGAAATGGGATTAAGGTCTTCCCTCTCAAAACAAACGAAAATAAAACAAGCTCTTAAGCACAGATTGTTTGGGGCTAGTGTCTTTATTATGAATGAATGCATGTGTCTATCATTCCCTAATGATGGCTATCCTTTCAACAAGTAGCTCAACGTTTACCAATTACTATTTTGCATAATCTGTTAGACTAAAATTAGCAACTTCGTGTATATTAATCACATCAAAACGTCGAATAGGCTAAAGACCCTAAGCTACTAAAAGATGTTATATTACATGACTTTTCAGTATCATTGTTATTTAATATAAATATGTTATACTATATTATTTATCATATTGATTTTTTTTTTTCATTTTAAGATTACAAGAAAACCATTTTGTTTCAAACAGGTTTAGACGCATCACATTATAAAGCCTTCCGCAGCAGTGCGTCTTTCATGCAGCGCGTCACATCAAATAAATTTATAAATAAAGATTAACAGATTTCTTAAGTTTAGTGTCTATTTTAAAACTATTTTGATATTACTCAGTACTTATGTAATTACACTGCGCTGCAACATTCATTCAACACTCATGTAAAGTGCGACTAAACCAGTAACGTTCAGCATCGCTCTGCTTTTCAAAGTTATTATGTCGAATATCGCCTACCAAAAGCTTTTCTTCGACGGATTTTGCGTACTAATCCACTCCACAGACTTAAGTTCTGTTCAACACGGTGGCATTAATGCAAAACTTACTTTTCCAGTCGTGAACAGACGTGAAATGTCCTCAAGTTCTCAGTCCAGAAGTCTTCTGGACAAATTGAACTTCTTTTCGCTGTCCGTTAAGTTTTGACGGCTATTCTCTGCTTAGTAACGGTCGCAAAATCCGCGGGTGCCTTCCCATCTGTTTCGCGCTGGCGGGATTTTTCTCAGTAGAGAGAGGATGATGGAGATGAGCGCGCGAACGAGAGAGAAAGAGAGATGGTGAGAGCTGCGCGCGTGAGAGAAGTAATGCGCGCTAATGTGACAGGCGTTTGTAGGGGTGTGGCCATCTAATGTCATAAGAGCAAATATTAAGAACATAACGTGTTTTTTTAACTTGTTCGGTTGCTGCTCATAATAATAAAAAATATATAATGCACGATACTCGTTTCTTTTAATTAGTTAATGAAGCAAATCACACTTTTACAAAAGTGGGCAAAAAAGAGAGAGCGAGTGAAAATGTTTATATAGCCACTTTATGAGATAAAATGAAAGAAAAAACATCCTTTATATATTTTCAGTGTTCAAATGCATAAAACTGAATAGTTTGTGTAAGAAAATATTATATTTGTAGCATATAAAAGATTATCAGCTTGTGCATCATTATAAAGACAAATTATGATTAAGGGATATTAAGGAATAATAAATAGGAAAACACCAAACTGTTTTATTCCATTATCAATCAGCATGATGATCTCTCAATCTCACTAAATAATAACAGCAAAATAACAATGGTTATCATTAACATTATTTGTCCGATGCACAATTAAAATAACTAAGGAATAATTCATATTGATTCATATTTCTCCATAAATGTTAATTCAACTAATGACTGAATACATGGCTGATTAAGTACATTGATTGCAAAGTCAAAGAAAAGAAGGGTGAAGTACAATAAAACACAGTCTTTTTTTTATAAATATGTCTAATCGTAATACTGGTCTATACAAGTCTAATTTGGGGGGGGGAAGGAATTCACTGTCAACAGCTGATCATGCATCACAGGAAAGACTTACACATCATCATAAGGAGAAAGTGTGATTAAGGTCTGGCACTTTCAACTTGAAACAAATTTACAAAGTAACTGCATGCAAAGACAATCTTTTAAGCACACAAATTGCTTGTTTGTCTGACTGGTTTCTTTATGAATGAATGCATGTAATTCCCTGATGATGGCTGTTGATCTTTACATGATGTTTACCCTATTTAGCTAGTCATTATTGGATGAAGATTCTCAGATAATTATTCAATTAATATATACACAAAGGTGTACTATAGAGTCACTTTATGATTGAAAGAAACTGTTCTCCTACTCATTTCACAGTAATTTTTGTAGAATTGAGTTTGAATTGTTCAGAAGGATATATTTTGGATCACAATCTTACAGAGACCATTTCACGCCTATTCATCCTCAGTGAAAAAAACGAGCAGAAGGGGTCGAACTCAGCCGCCATGGGGAATTTGTTGTTGCATGCTATGTTCTTACTTGCGATAATAGTTTGCCCCTAAGGGTCTCAATGTCTAAAAGAATTAGTTGAAGCATAAGTGTAGCATATCTGCTTGAGTGGCTACTTATGTTCACCAAAATTCATCTCACATAGAAAATATAATGAAACCAAGAAATATGATTCAAGCATGAGAAGGCCATCTTGAATGAATTCATTTTTTTGGCTGATTATGCACTAGAAGCTGAGCTATTGTAAGGCATGGACAGAAGAGGATCTCCTGAAATAAATCTGAATGTTTGTACTATCCAGAAGTGGTATGGACATTTTGGAGGAGCTCTTATCTTTCAAATGTATTGTATTTTGAGAGCCTTCTCCATGATAGCAGGCATCAACACTTCAAGAACCAAGTAGTGTTGACAAATAAACAGCTTGCAAAAATTGCCATTCTGCAGGGGACGTCCTCTGCAACCAGCCTCTAAAAACTGTCAGATCTCACACCAAAATCCACCAGAGACCACACTAATCTGCACATCCTCATATTCATTTGACACATTTTAGTGTTACAGTACTGTAAACTCAAGCAAGCAACCACCATCAGGTTCATATCACTGAAAACATTTTTTAAAAAAAAGTTTTTTAGAAGATGTAAATTAAAACAAATATTATTTATTAGAGTATGTTTTTACAAGATAATACTATTTCAGTAGTTCTACTTTGCCGTTTCTTTGTAATGGTTTGTGAAATTTACTAGCAACTAGTCAAAATTGATTCTACACAATTTTTTTTCAGCACAAAACAGAAATGACTATAATAAAAAGGGACCAATGAAACAGACCAGAATTTTTGGTTGTTGAATCACTGTTGCATTACCAAAATGTTTAAAACAAATCACAGCAGTCTTTCAAAACATAAAAAAAAACCATACTGACAGCATCTAAAATGTAAAAACGTTTTATGAATACAAATAATCATAAATCCTCTGATGATTGGTTGAAACAGAATTTGCCAGAATTTTTATCACCATTATCTTCACATTTAATTAATTTAATTTCAAGGAATAGTTCATTCAAAAATGAAAATTTGTTGAAAATGTACTCACCCTCAGGCCATTCAAGATGGAAATTAGTTTGTTTCTTCATCAGAACAGATTTAGAGAAATTCAGCATTACATCACTTGCTCACCAATGGATCCTTTGCAGTGAATGGGTGCCGTCACGACTCCAGCCCATCGATTAGTGTTTTGTGAAAATTGTGTTTGTAATAAACATTCTGACGGCACCCATTCACTGCAGGGGATCCACTGGTGAGCAAGTGATGTAATGGTAAATTTCTCCAAATCTGTTCTGATGAAGAAACAAACTCATCTACATCTTGGATGACCTGAGGGTGAGAACATTTTCAGCAAATTTTCATTTTTGGGTGAACTATGCTTTTAATGTTAAAGGGGTCATATGATGTTGCTAAAAAAGAACATTATTTTGTGTATTTGGTGTAATTAAATGTGTTTATGCAGTTTAAGGTTAAAAAACACATTTTCCACATACTGTACATTATTGTTTCTCCTCTATGCCCCCGCCTTTCTGAAACGCGTCGATTTTTACAAAGCTCATCGGTCTGAAACTGCGAGGTGTGCTCTGATTGGCCAGCTATCCAGTGCATTGTTATTGGCCGAATACCTCAAGCGTGTGACGGAAATGTTACGCCCCTTACCATACTGTGATGATGCCCTGTCAGGCCGGAGCAATGATTCAAAAACATGAAAACCCATTATAAACGAGGCATTCGTTGCATCCAGTGGAGACATAATTATGGATTATAATGACTTATACTGTCTTTTTCTAGCATCACGCCGCATAAACATAAAACCATGTCTGCATTTGTGATCGGAGAAATGACAAACAACAAGCCCTACTCTACATTGCCCAAAACTTGTGTTTGAATCATCAGTGGCAAATTCTTTAAATATAAAAAAACGTACTTACAGTCTGTGTGTCAGAACAGCCGGCATTGTAGTCTACTCTACCAGGATCAGGAAACAGTCCTCCATAAAATGTGCTGCACACATCTGAATATTTGGGTTGAAGTGTTCTGGAAAAGTGTTGTAAATACAACTTAACCACTGATTTCTAGTCGTGTCCTCTTTTGGAAGGTCGTTTCACAACGAAACAGCGTCACACACGGCGACCTAGAGTGAGCAGAGGCCGGGGGCTAGAGTGAGGAACGGCCGGAGGGCTAGAGTGAGCAGAGGCGGTGGGCTTGAGAACGGCGCGGCCGGTGGATTCGACGAAGGAGCAGCCGGTGGGCTTGCGGGGAAGGCCAAACAAAGTAGTTTCGCTTTCACTACGAATCACACAGCACTTTCACGACATGGCGGCGGCGGCAACAATACTACGAACAGCATGGATCAGCTTCAGACATGACGAAGCAGATATCGTCCTCTTTTGGAAGGCCAAACAAAGTAGTTTCGCTTTCACTACGAATCACACAGCACTTTCACGACATGGCGGCGGCGGCAACAATACTACATCGAGAATAAAAGTTACGCCTTCTTTCTTTGCGTGAACATTTGGGCGGTGTTATGCAAATCTTCCCACATCGTGACGTAGATATGTGGGGGCGTGTTAGAACGAGCCATTTTAGGTAGGTGTGGCTGACTCTTAAATTTGATAAAGAATATCTCGGATTTGGATTTGAGGCTTTAGTCTTTGCAACTTTACAGATCTTCTTTATGCACCAAGAGCTTGTAACACTCCAAAGAGAAAGGAAAAATGGAAATCGCATCATATGACCCCTTTAATACAACAAAATGACCCATTTAATTCCATTCATTTAATATTTACACCTTGATGGATTTGAAAATATTGTCTTTAGAGCTGTTCAAACATAAAAAGCATTATGTTTTAGATGCTTATCTATATTCAAGTGTCTATCCATACCACCAGTATTACCTCCACTAAGGTGGTCCTCCTTTTTATTGGTATTTAATATATGAAAATTGCCAGTCAATAACGACCTTTAAAACTCAAAAGGACAGAAGCTTTATTTATCTTATTTTTTATTCCTTGTCTGTCCCCCGTGTTAAAAATACAAAACTGAACTAAGGCTACACTCGCTGTTTTTGAATATAGGGTAGTGCTCATCTGTGGTATCACAGTGCTCATGCACTGTTAACATCACCACATTACACAAGCCTGTGTTACTATGGTTACAGATTATCACAGGCAAATATGCACAGCATGGATTTCATGACTGGTGAAATGGAAGGGGGGGACAAAAAAGTGATGCTTTACATCTTCAAAATATACTGAGATGGTCGTAATCATCTATTAAATTTACAAAAAAATCTAAGTGCATTCACCAACATTTTAAAAACACATTCACATAGTGATACAATCATGGAATGCCTATGTTTTTTAAAGGACGTGTTGCAGTACAGTCAACTCAAATGATGCATTATGGCTTCAGAATGAGCATTTAATTTAATTTTGATTAATTTATTTTAATTTAATTTATACATTTAGCAGACGCTTTTATCCAAAGCGACTTACAGTGCATTCAGGCTATACATTTTTTTTACCAGTATGGGTAAATTCATACATTTACAGTATGCTGTGCTGAGCATTCAAAAATTCTGAAGACCTAGACCTAGACCTCCTGAGATGTGACCCACTGTTCTACAAATCCACAAAGGATGTCCCCTGACACTCACAATTTATTACGCATCCAGTAATGATTTTTTATTTAGGGCCACATCATATAGC